ATATGATAAGTATAAACTTTAAACGGCTTAATCCTTTGAGTGTAAAAGTACTTGAGTATTAATCTTTATGATTGAGTATTAATGCTGAAATGTTGAATCTATAACCATCATGTTGAGTCCATCATATTGCATTATTAAAAAGGCCTAAACAAAATATATAGACATTTGGTACTCAATTTGTATTAACCAAAAAGAAATTTTTTGGTTAAGCTGAATTTTAGATAAAGAAGGTGGCTTTTTTGACAGAGGAAAAAAATGTGTGTGTGTGTGTGTGTGTGTGTGCGCACACATAGTATTAAAAAAAAAAAGAATACTTAAGACGAAATTGCTAATATGATTTAGGATAGATATTAAACACGAAAAATTATCTATTATCGTAAATAAGTTTCGATTTTTCGTTTTCTGTAACAAAGTGGAAGTAATAAATTCTGTGAATACTGTGATGGCTTCATGCTACTTAACTACTGCTTGAAACTTATAGACATAAAGATTATGTACTGAATACGTTTACATATTTACTTATAATTAATGACATTCACGGGTACAACCATGAATTGTAATTAATCAAAGATCTATCTAGTTAGAATGCTCCATAAGTGTAAAATATTATATCTTACATTTCTTCGAATGATTATTATTTTGTTTTCCCTTGCAGCATTTCGTAAAACATGATAGAAATACAAAATACATGATAGAAATTCAAAATACAAGAGAAAGAAAGAAAGAAAGACAAACAAGAGGAAGAGAATATGCTTGTAGAAATTATATTTAACGTTTTATAGAATATATAAATTCTTATCATTCACGTACAATAAATACGTATCAGAGGAAAAAGTAAGAGTTGGCATCATTAACGCGCGGCTAACTTTTAGAATTTTCATAGATACATATTACGCTGAGGTAGCACAGAACAATTTGTTTAAAAAATGGACTCGGAATGGGCAACGATGTCCCCAACATTTGTTACTTTTGTGAAGTTGGCACTCACTTTTACAATTTAGATTTCAAAGGACATTTCTTGTAGAATTTTGCCTGCAGATGATTATAGTAATCATTATTTTATTTGTAGTTAAAAAATAAAAATGCTATTGATTTTTAAAAAACAGGTCGGAATTTTTTTTAGTTACAGCTGGTACTAGATTTATATATGAAATCATTATAGTTAAAAATAAGCTTATAATTTTTTTCATTTTAAATGAATTTCTAGCTATATAAAAATCGATTGTAAGCTAATTTTTTAACCACAAACAAAAAACGTTGGTACTTCAAACATCTACAATTTCATATAAATCTGGTACCATCAGTAACGTATTTGCCTTATTGGCATGTTGCTTGCTAAGTATGTGTTCCTGTTTGGAACATTCTGTATCAACAGAATTGCAGCAACTAATTTCTCATTTGTTGACAATTTGACGCCTTGACGATATGACAACTTTGAATAACAACTTACAATCAATTTGTCGACAACATTAAAATGGTCATCATAAAAATTTGGACTATATTATGGCGTCATATTGCCATAATAATATGCAATATATATATATCACACAATGTTGTCATATTGTCATATTGATTACAGACACATTGATACAGTTATTTCGCCGTTAAATTGCTGACAATACATATACACATTGTTGCCTGCATGTTACAATGTCATATATTCAAAACCGTTCAAAATAACAAACTCTATGGTAAGTGGCTAGCATCATGAGTTCACAGATTTGTGCGATTTTTTTGAGACACGCTTTGCTGAATTTAAGTTATAGCTAAAAAAAACTTGTCTTTGAAAAATCAATAGCATTTTTATTTTTTAACTAAAAACGAAATAATAATTACCACAATCATTCACAGGCAAATCTTACAAGAAATACTCTTTGAAATCTGAATTGACAGTCAGATGTCAATTTCACGGAAGTATATTTATTGACCGATGTGATGGCAGCGAGTGTATCAAAATTAGCGGGTAAGATAGATAGTAGAACATCTCTTTGGATCACCATTAATACTAAGCCGAAAGACTCTTGCATCTTGTAAACGTACTCAGTAAAGATATAGTCTTTGTTTTCATATATTAATTTAATCGTCATACATATTCTCTTGGCGGTCGGCGTCACCTTGACAAATTCGTACTTATTTGTAACCCTAACGGTAATGTTCCTTAAAGATAAATCTCACATTCATATAATATCTGTAAAACCGCAATAAAATCGCAGTTAATATCTTCAAGTATTTTATGTGCATAC